TGCATTTTGGGACAGGACAGCCCGTCATACCTTACAAACGCCGGCACCTTGAACTTTGGAGGAATCACAATTCCGGCGACCAAGCCCATGTCTTCAAAATCCAGACCCGGCACCCTCTGCAATTCCATTGCAGCCAATCTGTCCTCTAAACCCTTGTACTTGTCATCAGCGGGAGGATACTGCTGGTCCGAATAATCCTCGTCCTCTTCCACGTCTTCCTCTTCTGCATCAGACTCGGAAGGCACTACAACCCGATCTCTTTTACTAGTCCCCTCATCAGAAGTAGGAGGAAATTCGAGCACCCTCCGAGCTTCTCTGTCAAATCTCCTCCCCAAAGTAGCCACTCCGATCCTCTTTTTCTTCTTCACTGGGTCCTTGCTCTCTAGATGAGCCTTGATATCCTCTTGACTCTTGACTAAGGTCATCAAGAGTTGCTGGAATTGTGCATTCTGGGCTTGTAGGTCTTTGACCGTTTGCTCGAGATCCATCCTACTGAAATAAACAGCAGATAGATAAGGAAACCTGGAGCGAGACCTGTTTATGCACATGATGAATGGTATGCAATGCATTCAAGGATTTGGGACATTCAAAATTGTTTCAGACAAAGAAGAACGCACGTCATATTAAGAAGAAATCTGTTAATACATAAATGCCCCATGGGCCAAATGTTACAACATAAACCTCTCAAGGCAGAAAGACATTGCGCATCCTCTTCGGTGCGATGTAGGTGTTGAGGGCCTCTTGCTCGTGGAGTCGGCGGGTAAGCTCCAGAACCTTATTTTCACTGGCGTAGTAGCTAGCTTCAAAAGTGTTCCGTTCCTCCTTGAGCTGAATCCAACTCTTCTGCATTTCCTCCCACGATGTAGGCATGTCCGGATGCAGGATGGTGTAGGGGACCTCTCCTTCATTGACGGGTTCCTTAATCACTGGGAGTACATGGGGATAAGGCATCATCAGACTTTGAGCACGGGCTCGTACCCACTTGAGGTAGGGCTCAAGAGGGATGGAGTTCTTGTGTCCCAGGGTCTTGCTATCAATCTTGTTGAGTTTTCCCCAAGCTCTGATGAACCTTTGGCGAAGTCCTTGCACATTGTCGTCGAAGTCAAAAACTAGGCTAGGAATCAGCATGTCATGAGGGCCGTCCCTCCGTGCATACCCAAATTGCCTCAAAGCTAGGCAAGGGTTGTAGGTGATACCTCCCCTAATTCCAAGTAAAGGGACATTGGGAAATTCTCCGCAACGATCGACGATGATGATATTTTCTCTAGACCGAGAACACCAATGTATATCAGCATGAGTGAGAGTCATCAATCGCTGGGACCACCTTATACCTTGATCATTCTTCAAGACAGATTGTGGAAGGTGCGAAATAAACCACCTTGCGAGAATAGGAGTGCAGCACATGAGAACACCCCTCCTTCTCATTGTTCGTGTGTAAAATGAGTGAAGGATGTCTCCAAGTAATGTTGGTATTGGATTTCTGGACAAGAAGATCTTGACGGCGTTGACATCTATCAATTGGTCAGGATTTGGGAATAGGACCAACCCATAGATAAGGAGTGCCACAATTTCTTCAAATGCTTGCAGGTCCAATGAGTTCCAACATTCTTGCGCCTTCTCAAACAAGAACTTTGCTAAGAATCCTTTGACACCGCTTCTGGTTTCCCAATGCCCCTTGATTTCAGACGGTTGTAGATGTAATGCTCGAGCAACATCTTCAGGCTTTGGTTCCTTCTCCGTACCGTTGAAGGGTAGTTGATTAAGGATAGGGATTCTTAGGAGTTGAGAAAACTCCTCCAAAGTGGGCACCAACTGATAATCCGGGAAAGTGAAGCAATGGTGAAGGGGGTCAAAGAATTGAAATAGCACCTTCATCATGTCTTCTTCGATGTTGGTGTTGACTAGGTTGAGCAGTCTACCATGTCTTTCACTGAAGGATGAATTTTCCGGAATTCTTGAAGTGATCTCCTTGAGTTGAGGAGAGACTCTCACAAGGTTGACTTGAATGGTGTTTCGGCGAGGTATTTCCATGTCCTACAAAACAAGAACAATGATGAAGGTCCAAACCCTTGAAATGGTTAGTAAATGCATATGATGTTTCATGATGTTTATGATGTATGCATAAAACATGTGTACAAGCAAATCACACCAAACCCTAGTTTCAGGCTTGCATGGGGTTTCATAGGTGAGTACCCTCTTGAGTGTAATTGGCTTAAAAACCTGTCCTATAAATAGTAACCGGGTTCTAAGGAGCTCAATATCACTGGATCGCTTTCATTGTTCATTGTTTTGGTTTAGCCACTTAACTGGCGACCAAAATATTCCAAGAAAACAACCCTCAATGAGTGTAGTATCGAGTATCTACCAACTTCGGACTGCACCAAAGCCGGTCATCTCACTACTCCTAATAAAAGGCCAAGATAGTCAAGTAAGGTTCTAGGTCATTAGTGCTTAGTGACATCGCTCAGCGGCCCCGTACTCTCCTTGATTGAACTCAAGGGTTACCGGTACCCACAAATATGTCGCACTAATATAGCTATTGCTTAGACCGTGTCGGTATACCCCGCACAGTTTCCACAACGTATTGCTATCTATGAATGTTTCCCAAAATCCGGGCGGAGGATTATAAACCCAAACAAAAGAACCAAGGTATAAAGCAAGCAAACCACCCAATTAGTCATGCAAGAAGGTGATCTAAGCCCTAAGGTAACCCCACTTAAAAGGTCTCCCCAGCAGAGTCGCCAGTTCTGGTTACGGTGGGAGAACTGACTAGTGTTTTGCGTTCGTATTCGCACTTGTGCGGTTAGCAAGAGTCGCCACCGACTTTTTATTTTATCCTAAAGGAAAGGTTAAAAAAGCACAGCAAAAACCTTTTTGAGATATTTCGTGGGTTCGGGGGGTAGATTATGAAAAGGGAAGGTATTAGCACCCTTTTCATCCATGGTTATCCATGGGCTCTTAGGTACTTGCTTAGATCAATCTTGCCTTGGTTTTCAATTGTGTGAAATGGTGCTTTGTGGATTGTTTTGAAAATGTTTTGAAAAGATGCCTTGCGCTAGGCTAACCTTGTAACAATTCTTTGCTCGAATGTTTTACAAAAGGTGTTTTATCTTTTAAAAAGATGTTTCAAGGGTTTGAAAAGTTTGATTTTTGAAAAGTGTTTGTGAAGTGGGTTTTGAAATTAGGCAAGTGCTTTCTTTGCAAATTGACAAGTACTTAAGAGTTTATCTACCCTAAAGCTTTCTCAAAAGATTTTCGTCGTGTTTTAACCCCTTTGAACAATTTTGTTCCACCATTGAAATTGGTGGACAATCTTGCGTTTAGGAAGTTTATTCGGGACAGGCGCGGGTCATCGTATGGACCATGAATGCAATGATGCCAAGTGTCTTTGGCAATTTGCTTGAAAGGGACTTGATCATTTTGATAGGCGACTTTCGAAAGCGTCATCGAGGGACTTATGATCATTTGATTTTGTTTTGCCAAAGACATTCGACGTGCAAGCATGACCCATTTGGAAGGCAACATGTGGGATTACCCTAGGGGGTGCAAGTGTGATTGTGTATTGATTACATGTATTTGTCTTGTATTAGGTTATCTAGCGTTTTGATTTTAGGTACATACAAACCCTAGGTCTAACCATGGTATAATTGGAAAAACTGTAAATTGCGGAATGTAAATCTACGCTATTACAAAATAATATCCAGGAGTGGGGGTATAAATGTACAAGGGGATGAGACTTATAGTATTTACAACCAAATCGAATGTCACAATCAAAATATAAATATCGAATGTATAAATATGAGATAAAATGTGTGTAGGGCAATATATTGTGTAAGTGCAAATGTATATGTATTGTGTAAGTGTAAATATGTACAAGTGCGAAATGTGAAATTGAGCAGTATTAGGGTTTTGACCTAGATAAATGTTTTTTGATGAATCTTGATTTTTGTATGTTTAATTATGTACAAAAGAAAAATGAAGTGTTTTGATTAGAGTGTTAAGTTTTTTTTAAAAAAGCATTTTAGTCAAAATGTTTTGTGAATTTCAATATTAAAAGATGTATCGAATTATTATGTACAAAAAGGTATATTAACTAAAAAAAAAAAAAAAGAGTTTAATTTTAATTATGTATAAACAATGTGTAATATGTACAAATATGTTTCAATATGTAAAAAATATTTTCAAGTTAATTGGTATAAAAAGTATTTTGTTATTGTTATGTACAAAATGTGTATTAATCTAAAGAAAATGTTTTATATAATATGTACAAAATTAACTTTTAATATAATTATGTATGTACAAAATGTATTATCTAAAAAGTCTTAACCTTATGATAATAATAAAAAAAAAAATATTTAGTTAAGTTAGTATTTTCTAAGGAATAAAAATATTGCTTTTACAAAATAACAAGAATGGTTAGTGTTATGTATGAAAGAATAATAAGTATTGTTTAGGTTAGTGATTAATGGGCTTAGCATAACTGGGAACGGGTCAGGCCCGCGTCAAGCAAAAAATGAAATTAGGGTTAGGCAATGGTTTGTTCAATTGGAAACGCGATAGGGTTTGAACGGCGCCGCTCACTGAGTTCTGTCTCCTTCCTCGTTCATTCTTGAGTGCTTCTCTTTGCTTCGAGGCCACCAGCGCTACCCCTCCTCCTTCCAGCTCGAGTTCAAAGGCCTCAATACAGAAAGGTTCGCTTTAGATGTTTTCTGATTCTTTTCTTTTTTATGAATTGCATGCATTATTTGATTCGAATTTGATTCTTAAGTTTGTATTGCTATGGAGGTGATGGAGAATAAAGAGGGAGAAATAACTGACTACCTGACTTGGAGAAGGAGGAGGAAAAAGGACGTGGCGCTCAGGAGGCTCGATGGCGGAGATTCGGTGATGAGGCTACGCTTTTGATGCTTTCTGGTACTTTCGTTCTTTGGCCTTTTGCTTAGGTTTTGATGATGATACGTACTGAGAAACTTAATGTGCACTTCTTTACCTCTTCTTCTTTATGTCCCTTTGCCTATGATTTGTTTCTGCTTCTCCTTCTCTCGTGTTGCCTTGATATCTTTATCTCTTCCACTTTCGTGTTGCCTTGATATCTTTATCTCTTCCACTTTCGTGTTGCCTTCTGGATTTGTATGTTTCCTGAGATGCTGCCTTGATGTTGCCTTCTGAGATGCCTACAGCTTTTGCCCAATGATGTTATACTGAGGGCCTGGAACTTTTGTGTGCTTTGATTATGCTTGAGATTGGGTTGCCTTGACAGTTTTGGTACTGGTATGACAGGATATTGGCATTGTTTTTGAATTGAACTGTGTGTTTTATGGTTTTGAACTTCTGTTGAGGGGTTTGGGCTTTTGATGTAGGTATGTGGTTATGGCATTTTTGTGTTCTTGAAGGTGATGCAGGCTTGATAGCTTCGTTTTTGGTTATGTTGGACTGAGTTTTGTATTGGCTCAGGATGTTTGTGTTTGAGAATGTGTGCTTGGAGGTTTGATGCCTTTTGAGTTGCGTTTGATGCAGAGTTTTTGAAGTTTGTGGACAGTAGGCAGGTTCTTGGCTTGAGTTTTGTATGTTTAATGCAGGGTATGCTCCATGTTTTTACTGATGCAGGTTTAATGGTTTAGGGGTTAGACAGGTTTGAGGTGTTGGTATGTTATGCTGTGTGGTTTGGATATGGTTGATGATATTTGGTTATGACAGGGTATTGGTTTTGGTAGTGAAGTTTGTGTGTTATCCTTCTTTGAAACTCAGGGGCTTGTATTTGTATATTGATGCAGATTTTTGGTTGGCTTTCCGTTTTCGTGCAACTACTGAGTTGTATATATTTCTTCTCTCTTCACCTTACCCCCTGAACTGCTATGCTGAGTTTGTATTATATTTTTCTATCTTTTCTTTTTGGCGCCCAATCTTTTTTCAAAGCTTTGGTCTTCTCTTTGACCCAAGTCTGCTGGATATTTTCACAAGGTTTCTTGGCATTTTTCCCCATTCGGTAACTGGCTATGCTGTGTAATTTTTAAACAATGCCGAATTATCCTCTTTTTGTGCATCTTTTCTGCCTTGCTTCTACTGTCTATGCCTGCTGAACCTGAACTAGGCTTGCTTTATCTCTCTTTCTTCTCACTTCATAGTACAATAGAGAATTTTTATATAATTTAAGTTGTACTTTTCTGAAGGGGCTATATTTATACTGGGAAATGATGACTAGCTTGCATAATATGTTTTCTGCATTTCTTCTTCAGCTTTTGCGCCTTGCTCTTTTCCTTGATATCTTGGCAAAGGTCCCTTTTTGACAGCTTGTAGGCTTTGATAGCAACTTGTACTATTTTGATTTCTTTGATACCTTTGGCATTCTGACAGTAGCCTTTGCTTTTGGATAGAAAGTTTGGATTTGATTTTTCAGTTTGGATTTGAACTATATAGTTTTGAATGGGAAATTGAGATTCTCATGTAGCTTGAATTTGCAACTTATGCATTTTTTGACATTTGCATTTCATGAAATAAAAATAATCTTCCCTCTCTGTGAACCGGGAGAAATCCCGTGATTTGCAGAGAGGGTCAACTGATCCCAGTCAGTGGCCCCTAATGATGAGCAACTTTTTATCTGTCCTTTAATTAAATGCTTTCTGACTTTTCTTGTTTCTTTTTGCAGATGAAAGATGGAATGCCGGAGCGGAGTGAAGAACGAAGAGTATTTAGAAAATAGGATAGTTTTTCATTCTATTGTAATATTTAAATTAAATGTAAATTATTGTTTGTAACAACAATTTGTAAATAATTCAAATATCAATAAAAATTCAAATTATCCAATTAATTCTAATTTCCTTATTATTTGTTTATTTATTTAAAATTCTTAGAATTAAAACAATTGAAAAATAAATTCAATCATTTTAATTTCAGAATAATAAATAACTAAAATAAAACAACATTGATCCAATAAACCTGTCTTATCTCACATTCAAAGCAAAGCAGCAATTAACCCAGATAGACTGATCAAACACATGAACACTGTGAATCCAATACTGCATCTTGCATATGACCGGCCCAATCAAAACGTACTGAATTCAAAACCATTGTCTCTTTTACTGATTAAACCAAGATAATGCGAATTTTAATCCAAATCTTGAAATAAACCGCAAAGTGCTGTGGAATTCAAATTCTTCTGAGAACATGCCCATAAAACCCTAATTCCTGATTAAATGCCAAATCACGCTTGCTTGATCAAAATCGAACCAACAATCAATCAAACCCTAAGCCCACTGTATGAAACAATTCAGAGCTCTGAAAATCAGTAAAAACCCTAGTTTTGCTTGACTGTCAAGAAAAGTCCGTTTGTCCGATTCTTGAGCCAGTTTGAGAAGTCAGGAAATGCTTGAAGCTGAGATTTCTTGGGGAAAAATGCGAGGGCAAATTTTGGGGTACAACATATGGTTCAAATTAAAAATGCATAAGCAAAGTAGATACTTGTCATACCCCAAATTTTCCTGCCTTATTTCTAAACATTCAAATGATTTTTAAACTTGGTTGTTATAAATTTCTTTGATTTATTTACACTAATATTTTGGGGTTTTCTAGTTGTTTAATAATTTATTTTAAATTATTTGTATTTTTAAATAGAAAATATTTTTCCACTTTCACATACTTTCAATTGACTTTTTATTTTGATTAAATTAGATAGCACAATTGATAAGGAGACAAGGCTTACAAATAAAAGGTCATGTGTTTGAATACCACCTTCATAACTTTTTTTGCATTCTATTTTATTTTTAGCCTTCTTTACATTTTTTGCATTATTTTAATAAAATCATAAAAAGGTATTTTATTTATTTATTTATTTAAATATCATTTTCGTTTTTCTATATTTAGTATATTTTAAAATATTATTTATTTTATTAAAATTATTATTTGATGCAAAAAATAGCCATAAATCTATAAATAAATAAAATCTTTTTCAGTTTAAATATTTTTCAAATCAAATCTTGCACTTGGACACAAATAGGTCCAGATTTTTAATCTTGTTGACCAAGATGGAATCAGAAAATTTTGGGTTTTCTTGGTGTGAGTTGTTTCCTTTTTGGGGTGTTTTTAACCTAATCTCAAATCTATAAATATGGCTCTCTTCACCCTAATATCCATCCACGATTTCTCACAATTTCACTACGATTGACAATCTATCTCTACATTGTTAATCTTTTTTCTCTTTCTTCATTTATTTTAGGGTTTTGTCTTGAACAGACACTTAACCCTGTTTTTGTCTTGAATAAACAATTACATACGATCATCAACAATTCACCCACGAATATCAACAATTTTGCAATTACACACACACACTTTCTTTTCAAAATTTCTTTACAAAATACTATTGGTGATATATTTTTTGTTTTGGCCGCTGATTTCAATATGAGGCACCTCCCTTTTATTTTCAATTTCAATTTATTTACTGTTTAAATCATGTGATGAATTTATCTGTTGATTTATTTTCAAATCAATATACTCTTAAGATCACGTACATTCATCTTTCTTTTTTTCTAAAATTTTCACAATAACAATTCATATGCCATATTTTTCTTTTGAGTCAAAACTTTTGGTTTTCTTAGAGTGAAAAATTTGTACGAAGTTAAAACCCACCCTTTTTGTTGATATCTCTTAGTTCTGCATTTTACTAATTTCTTCCATAAAAACATGGCATTTGAAAAAACTCATAATCTTGTTTCATACACTTTGTTCATCAATAACTCACTACGGATCCTATTTTTCCAACAACACATTAGCAAAATCGCCGCATCAACAACCAACAAGCTCGACGCACCACTTACCGGACATCCCTTAGCAGCTCACCACCGACACTTTTTTTCTTTTGCTATTTGTGTGTACTGAATGTATTTATTTGTTTTTGCAGATTGGTGTGATATTGGGGAGAAGAAGGCAAGAAACAATAACCTGAAAATTCCAAGAGTTAGATGGCATGAACATGAAAGGGGAAATATAACCTGCAAATCAGAAAACTAAAACTCTTTTCATGGCCATGATTTCCAATTACTCACAATAGTTTTGAAAATCAATTCAGATCAAAATAAAACAAGTAGATTGACTATCGATTTTGTGTCGCTCCAACAAAAATAATGCAATGCATTGACCATCACCACAGACTGCCATGGAAACCGACGATTGTAGACCCAGTGGACACTAATCAAAAATCCACTTCCACACAAGACCATCCACGTACTCCCTCCTCCTTTCTCATACCAAACCCCAATCGTGATCAGCTCTGAAGTGTGTCAATCCAGCCCCTTCTTTAGACACAATCCACATCACAATCTTGCTCCACAATCCGTATTCAACCCGACCACGCCACCGGAACCAGCCACCATCTCCCATGAGAGCACTGCCACGCACCAACCATGATGAACACTACGTCACAAACTCCGATCTCAGATCATGTAACTAAGGCTCATTCAATCAGTCCCGATCCCGACCGCACTATCGGTCGTCGCTCCCTCTAACTCAGGTGCCCGTGTTGTTTTCGTATTCCATATGGCTTATGTGATTTTCATCAAATTAATTTAACATTTTTTACAAATAATATAATGGATGCACTTCCTCGAATAATTGATTAGTCGGCTTAACACTTACTAATTAATTATTCACATAAAATACATTTAAAATTCGTCAAATAAATCAAATGAATTTTTTCTTTCAGCGCGATCTAATTCTAATGAAGATAAACTCTTCTTAAAACTCAAATCAATTTCAAAATAGCTAACCAACTTCAAACCAGTTTTTCTACTAACTTAACAAAAACTTCAAGATATTTAAAAAAAGGATTAAATAGCATTGCCTTCAAACTTAACTTTGAACTGCGTGTACGATCACTTATTTTTCAAACCCGTACAAGGTTCAAGGATAATTCGAAAGAAATCCTATGTAATCCTAGAAAAAACACCAACCAAACACTATGAACTACGAATTTAGACTCTGATTCTTCGCAAGAAGATACGTAGGAACGCGGTTAAAATCAAGGGGAGTTCATAACTAAAATACTAAATTCTCTTCTCAAATACATGGAAACAAAAACATAAATAGGAAATTTATATCTTACCTTTAGACCTAAAAGTGGAGCCCCTTGAGAAAAAGAGAGATAAAGGGTGCCTAACACCTTCCCTTCGTCTACTTGACTTATGAATTTTGAATATCTGTACGAATTAGGGTTACCCGTTATGTCTCCATCCTTAGGATAAAAATTAATGGTGGAGACTCAATTTTTTGTTGGTTATGACAGTTGGCGACTCTACCGGGGACACTATCCTAGGGTTAGAGTTATCCCTTATTTTTTAGGTCTAGGTTTTTATGGGTTCTTTCTATTTATGGTATATTTTTGTTTCCATGTTTATTTATTGGTCTATTATTTATTCATTTATTTATCGCTTTATTATCATTTTGTTATCATATTATTGTTGGTGGTTTTAAATTTCAAAAATATAAATCCTTAGAAAGAAGGATTGTCAATTGGCCAAAAGGGGTTTAACATCCCTATGAGTTTTTGCAACGATTTGGCCTAGAGTCGGTTGAGTTCTAAGAAATATCTTTTAGAGGGCTAGACTCTCTTGGAGGCAGGACTTCGAGATTTGGCCAATGACTCTTTGTATAACTAAAACAAAATCGCATGGTGAAACCTTGAATGACCTAACAGACGAAAGTCTCGGACTACAAAGAGGCTCCGCTTAAAGGAGGCCCTTGCGCCTTTCCCTCTAGTGTCGCCCATAATACCCTTAAGGAAACCACTCTTATGAGATAGGGTAGAATATCCGTAGAACCACCATATGAGCCCTCTTATAGGATATTTTATTAACATCTCGTCCTTCATAGGGAACTGTTGTACCCCAAAATTTTCCCTCCCATATTTCTCAAAACATTTCAAGTGAGATCCTCAAATTGCTCAAGGAAGTCCAAGGGTTGACCAGACAAACTCTCTCCTAAGGCAGTCTACCTCAAATTAGGGTTTCATATTGCATCAAGATACTTGAGTCCAAGGGATCCCAAATGCTCACCATTGTCCTAATATGTTTTCAAGATCATCCATGTCAAGTTTCAAGCCCTACAGAGAAAGTTTCCTCAGTCAATTGCTCAAAGGCCTGAAAATCAATTGTGCTTGGGCAAAAGTCAACTGTGCCCCACATACAGTCAAACTTCAAGATTTTTGGTTAACATCCTCATTTTGAAGTATTATTCATTATTTTATCAAGGGTTGATCATGATTCCTCAAAGATTGCTCACAATTCATCAAAATCCAAAAGTTGCTAAATTAGGGTTTTATAGGAAAAGTCAACTCAACTTTGACCAAGCATAACTTTCTTATACTTTATCAAGAATTACCCATTCAAAGCTCATTTTGAAGAGGATGCAATTCCCTACAATTCATCTTCAGCTCCCAAGATTAAAATATGCACTCACAAGAAGATACAAATTTGGACATTATAGGTCATTTTGAAAAGTCAACAAAAACACCTTTTTTGTCAAAGCTTCATACATGATCATGGAAAACTCAATTGAGATGAGACAAAAAAGGTTGCTTAGAGGACATCTTGAGATTTCTAAAAAGTCCAAGAACACATCTCTAGGATCAAAATTGAAATAGTTATGCATTGGTGAAGTTGTCTTTTTTTGCAAAATTGCCAAAAGTCAAATATGCCTCAAATTGAAATTTTTGTCAAATGGGCCCAAGTTTTTGTGCTTGTACTGAGTTGGTAACATGATCCCCGACCCATGATCCTTCCCACTTGCCTTTATTTTATTTTTGTCATTTATTTTTATTTTTATTTCAATTAAATCAAATTAAATCAAAATAAAATCATGAAAATATCAAAATCATTTAAACCTTGAGATTTTGTGCATATTTCAGGTCGATGAATAGCTGGCAATGAGATCAAATCGTGCAAGGATTGTTTGTACACAAAAAGATTGAATTTTTCTTGTTTTGGAAATATTAGATACAAGTGTGAATCAAGGATCAAATCTTCATAATTGCAAAGATTGGATGCAAACTTGTAAACCTAATTCACTCAAGGATACATATAGAACAAAAATCAGACCAAAAGCACAAGGGTGAGAGGCGTGAAGAGAGAAGAACAACTTTCAAAAAATCAAGAAAAGTGGCAATATGATTTCATAGTTCCAGGCTATCTCAAGCCTTCCAAGCTATCTCATTTGCTTCCTGGGTGTTCAAAGAGTCTATCCCAATCACCAACAAGCATTTTCGTGCCCAGAAACGCAATGTAAGTGCCTCACGACATCCTTAGTTTTTTGAAATTGAATCTCATGAATTTGACATTGTTAGCATGATTGGTTTGTATATTCTGAATCCTTGAAGCATTTGCTAGCTAATGATAATGTTCAATTGCACTTTTGCTAACCATACAAAGATCCATCATTGTTAGGTTTTCTTTGTTCGTTTTAGGGCTTTCTTATGCAGGTAAAATTGACCCAAAAGAGGGGTACCATGATGTTCACAAGGCCAAGATGAACTGGCCTGTAGCTTTAGTTTTCATTTATGGTGCGTGTATGAGATTTTGGAAATATGCAGGGGCTGTACCTATAGAGAACGTCTGTAGGTAAAAGTTGTTTTACCTAAGACGACGGACGCTGGAGAAGAAAGGTGGCGTGGCAACACATCATTCGTCCATTCAAAAATTCGCGCACTAGCATATGTTAATTTGTGTTTTTTCCATATAATCTTTATTTGTTATCCCATATACAAACAAGCGTGCTGGCTCAGTTGGTTTGGAGGCATGTGGAAAAGGCCAAAGGGCCTGGGTTCGAATCCCAGGTCCCCCATATTATTTCATAATGTTTTTTCTTGTATAATCAGGCATGTGCACAGGCAGGAAGACTACCATACGCCCTCAAGGAATAACCAACCAGATGTCCACAAGCTGGATCCAAAGGCCATCATTTGAAGGTCTATAATGCACCCTAGTCAAATATGCAACATGGCATCTGAAAGGTCAACGTGGACCAAGGCTTTTTTGGGCCCAAAAGATGTTGTTGATACCCCCTTTTACTTTTGATACCAGACCCATTTCTCTCTTTTTCTTTCATTTATTTAATTTTGTTTAAATTATTTTCTCACACAAATTTAATTCTTTTGTATAGAAAACTCATAAAAATCAATTTTCACCAAATTAGAATTTAGGCTTTTTATTCTATTTTTATCAAAATTAATTTAATTAGTTTAATTTAATTTTAGGGTAATTTTAACCTTTTGTAAATAATTTAAAATAAATTAGAAAATTAGGGTTTTGTTTAATTTAATTTTTATTTTATTTTCTTAAAATAACCAAAATACAAAAATAGGTCAAATTAATTAATTTTCTTAATTTAGTTTAATTAGTAATTAGGTTTGTATTTATTCATTAAAACCTTATTTTTTTCTCAAAATAATAAAAAAAAAAGATTTTTCTTCCAATTAGGTTTAGACGGGGTCAAAACCCTAATTTTTTCTCGTCTCGTTTCATCGCGCGCGTTTATTTATTTTTACGATATTAATGTAACTGCTCATGGGTTGTAATAGTTTAATTAGGACTTTTCATTTATTTATCGTTTTCCACGGGTTTTTGGCTATGTAATTAATCCCCCTCCCCGAAGCCTTGTAATAACGTAGTTTTATATCTCGCATTTTAATTTCTGCAAATATTAACTGTTAGATGTATGATAATAGGATTGCATGACAAGAATGTATGTTAATTTTAAAACGGCTAGCAAACCCTAAATGTGAAAAGATAATAACTTGAAATCAAATCACTCGCATATGCTCACTCCTAGGGTATACTCTCACTTCGGTTGCCTTCGGTAAACGATCATTAAGTATATGATGTTTTAGTGGTCGCTCTCTTGTCTAAACAAAGATCAAATGTCTCGTTCGGAAATGTTGCCTCGGAAAGGTTGCCTCGGAAATGTTGCCTCGAATATGATCTTAAGACATTAGGGTTATTACTAAGACGTCCTAACATTGCTTTAGTGATCGTACGTCCCTTTCGAATTGACCCTTACAACTCCAACGACGGTGCTACCCACTCACTAATAGTGAGATAGCGTTGTCTAAAGGAAACAAGAACATAAACATTCTTTTTTCGAATAGGTAGATGCTAGTAGGTACTTGCTCAAAATCAAACTTTTCCACACTTACACTCTTATCAAACAAAGTTTTCAAAAACACTTCGTAACACTCTTGAAGACAGAAGCAATGGTTAAAACGAAGTAAAACAAAAACTTTTCAAAACACACAAACACGGAAGCCATTTTAAAATGATGAGCAAATACCTAAGAGCTCGTGGAAAACCACGGATAGAAAGGGTGTTAATACCTTCCCTTTCTATAATCTA